ACCCGACCCTGACCCCACCCCTACCTCACCTTTACCCACCCCAACCTTACCCCTAACCCTAGATAGGAGAGAACCCATATAGTTATTAATCATTGTTATCATTTAGCGAATCAAGTTGTTCATTTGATTGATAGGGTAGGTGGTTCTTTAGCTGATTGCAATGATGTTTTCCGGACGACCTCTAACTTATATGTATGCTTGTTGATGAACAATATTGTTGAGTTATTCAAGTGGTCATTTTTTATTTAATAAACTCATATTTTTGCCTTTTCAGAATGACCCGTTATTTTTTTATAAAATCGGTGATTTTTTATTTCGCTATCAAATTTGTGTCATAACAAAAATAAGTTACTTTGAAGTTACATTTCTGGTTTGACCAGAATTATTAATATAGAATTATGTTTGTAATTGATTATGCTTCGATTTCTTTCTTAAAAGAGATAGTAGTTTCTTCATAAGTTAGTCTCCCCAACTTTTCAAAAACTGCTTCTAAAATCATTATAAAATGTAGTGTTCTTAAAGACCTAAAAAAGTACCACAAAGGCGAGCCTAGGCGCGAGGCGAGTACAACACGACCCGCTTATCCTCTATGTGTGAAAAAAGGCATGGTGGCCTACAAAAATTTAAATATATTTTCGAACCGCTAAGTAGTGATACACGTGAACATATCATAAACCGGCTCATTCACATGCTTGAAAGGCATGTTTGTTATATATAGAGTGTTGGTGGAATGAATGCTTTCTCTCCTTCCGGTGTGAGATGAAGAGATTCACGTATGAAAAACAAAAATAAGCAAAACTAACTTCCTAAGTCATTAACTAGAATCAATTTTACAAATAAAAATTTGATATTTTCAACATTTTCAGATTTACCCGTTGATGGTTGTACCGATTGGGGGTGGGCAAACCCGAAGTAGAGAAGGAAAATATGCAAAGTATAGATCGAGTAGGAAATTTGACAGAGTAATAGTAAGCTATAATATCATAAGTGTGATCCCTTGCCCCGCTAGTTTATTGACACATGTAAGGCTAGTTGGAGAGAATTGGTTGGTGGTGTTGCACTAGCTTTTGTTATTGTGCACTGGAATGGTTGGATAAGCCGCACGTGTAAGTCCAACAACCGGCATGTGTAACCAAATTGTGTAACGCCAACCTTGAGACAACTGTCATATAGTGACGCAATCCCGAATCTTGTAATATCTTGGTGCTGAATTGTCCAAGTCCACGATATCTATTTGAGATCCCGAGCTCAGTTGTATAGGTCAAGCTTGGGTTTAATGCGTTAGATAAGAGGTGGGGAACCTCGGGTTGGCTTGAGTTCGACCGTGTTGCTGAATCGTCACCGATCTCGGTGAGGGCCAACCTCATCCTCGAATGCAGTTTCAGACTTATTTCAATGATCTGAGAACTTGTATTGAGCTTGGCCTCAACCAAAGTTGCCTTAGTAGATTCTGGAGATCACTTAGCATAAATGTTGATAGCCTTGAGGTATATGATAATATACTCCATAACATGTTAAATTATACTCCGTATATACAACAACAACAACATCTAAACCTTATTCCCAAGAGATTTTTGGGTCGACTAACATGAATTGATATATGACATCAGATCCAAAAGAGAATAAATATAAGAAGAATAAAAAGATAAAGTAAGATAACATGAATAAATAAAAATAACATAAGAGCATAAGAAAAATAAAAGATAAAATGCTAAAAGAGCACAAGAAAGATAAAAGATAAAAATAACATAGGAATACACAAAATACTATCGTATAAAGAAGATAAAAGAAAAGGAGAGAGAAAAGAGGTCAATTGTCCACATGAATATGCGTTATCCACTTCACTCTCACCAAAATCATACTCTCATCAACCCAAGAAAAAGCAGTTCTCATTTCTCTAATCCAAGTATGTTTGAATCTTCCTATCTTTCTCCTCTCATCTAACAGGTGCATCACTCGATCTTCTGCGCACATGACCAAATCACCGCAATCGAGACTCCTACATCTTATTTTCTATATGTGTTACTTTCATCTTTTGTCTGATTATCTCATTACTCAAGTGGTCTTTTTCTGATATGTTAACACATCAAACACAACATATGCATTAGTCTCGCACTCATATTTTGAATGTGACATTGTTTCATCATCTAACTCTTTATGTCATACATTAATCCAGACTTAATTGCCGCCCCTATATATAAACCAAACATTAATATACACCATGACCATAGCCCTGTACGTCTCGAATCCATCTCAACATCCCAAAAATCAAAATTCCTAAAAAGAAATTGGACTGTGTTTCATCTCAAACTAGATTGGATCAGACTAGACCTAAATAGTGCAGATCAGAGCAGACTTAAGAGCATTTGCTCATTTAGGGGGTGTTTGGATCTGATTTTTAAAACTGCTTCTGCTCCTCCAGGGAGCAGAAGCAAAAGCTGGAGTGTTTGGGTGAAAGTGCAAAAGTGATTCTGGTGCTCTAATTTACTCCTAGAATCAGTTTTTTAGAAGCTGGGGGGACCAGCTTCTGAAAACTGATTCTGATTCTGCTTCTACTTTAAAAAAGAAGCAACATCAGAATTGGTTCCAAACACCCCCTTAAATATTTGAGATAATTCCCTAATGAATAGGAGTAAAAGGAGGTGACTTGACACTATTGCCCTTAATGAATAAATCAATTTATTTATTAATTAATAATACAAAGTAAAAAAATAAAATAGAGGCCAGCACAATCCTCACGCATAGAACTCACGCTACTGGTGCAACGTCCACCACCACCGCCAGCTTTGGTGCCGCCGTGCCACCGCCACCGCCATCATCGCCACCGCCACCGTCGTCGTTGCCACCACCACCGCCGTCATCGCCACCGTCGCCATCGGAGCTGTCTCCACCTGCGTCGGAGCCGTGACCACCACCGGCGTCGGAGCCGCCACTATACCGGCGTCTTCACCGCCTCATCTGCGATCTCTGGCATCGCCGCTGCCGGCCTCCACTGATTAGACCAGTGTAGATCTCAAATAGTTATACAAACATGGGCATTTTGTAAAAAATACATGGGCATTAATAGTTATACAATATGGCATTATTTGCCTAATTTGTTCAAGTAACATTGTCATCTTTATGAAGTTAATGCCATTATTGAAAATGGAATTATTTACCAAACATGGCATTATTAAATGATGCCATTATTCAAGTATTAAAATAGCATTATTTACCAAACATATCGAAAAACATGTCAATTTTAAAATATTTTTTTAATATAGATAAAAGTGGAATATCTTTAAAATCAGTTTTCAAAAATGAACATTTATTATAGATTTTTCAGATGCAAATTAATTTATTTGAAAATTAAATTTTAAATAAAATCATTGAAATGAATAATTAAATAAATAAATAAATAAATATCAAAAAAGTCATATCCATTTTTTCAATCACTGAACGTTCATGTTTAAAAAAAAAATCTAAAATAGCATTTTTTTTGTAGGATTTCAAAGTAAACAAAATAATTAATTGGAATTAAGAAAAACATCAACAGAAGAAGAAATTAGAAGTAAAAGAAGAAGGAAGAAGTGGAAAGGAGGAGGAGGAAGAAGAAGTAGAAGAAGAAGTTGAGGAGGATGAGAGGAGAGGATTTTGCTTCCGTCCCTCAAGTTCGTCGGAAATGGCAGAGATTTAAAATCTCCATAGAGATGAGCAGGGGCGGACCCACCCTAGGGCTAGGGGTGCCCGTGCCCCTGCGGTGATTTTTATATATATATATATATATATATATATATATATATATATATATATATATATATATATATATATATATATATATTGGAAAATTCTCAGATCCAGCACCTCCCGGTCTGAACACCGTCCGAATACCGCCGTTTGGGGCGGTTCCGGCTGGAATTTTTTGATGAAATTTTGTGAGCATGTTTCTCATCAAGTCTAGTTTATCCATACCAAATTTCAGGTCAAAATTCGACCGGGAAGGCAGTCAAATAATTCGTTGAAGTTAACTGCGTTTTTCTATGTATAATTTGGCGCAGTTAACTTCAACGAATTATTTGACTGCCTTCCCGATCGAATTTTGAGCTGAAGTTTGGTATGGATAAACTAGACTTGATGAGGAACATGTTCAAAAAATTTCATCAAAATATTCCGCCAGGAACCGCCCCAAACACCGGTGTTCGGAGGGCGTTCGGACAGAAAAGTGCTGGACAGAAAAGTTATGCCGATTGAGACTTATGATGTTAATATTAGAGATGAGTTGAGGAGACGTTATTTGAGAAAAGGTCCTTGCCAACCGCGTGACTTTAAATTTCCACAAAGTGATTTTAATGGGTGCAACAGATCATTCCAAAAACAGTGGTTTTATTTAAATTTTATAGTTTTGTTTATTCCTATACTCGTGATGCATATGATTTTTATCTAGACTAGTATATCATTTCTTTGTTATTGTGCCCCTACGAGTCACGAGTCCTGATTCCACCACTGGAGATGAGGATATGGATAATTAAGTTAGAGAATTGTGATGTGGGGATAATGATAAGATAAGAAAGAGAACGGATGGAGAAGGATGATGGGTGGGAGATGAGACGCCCATGAGAGGGGAGGGAGTAGAAGAAAGAGGAGTGGGGGAAGGGTGTGATGGCATGGGATGCGCGCAGGCGGTACGAAAAAATAGAAGAGGAAGGGTGTATTGGAATTGAAGTCTGGGAATAAAAAATACTCCCTCCGTTTCCAAAAATACTTTCCACTTTCTTTTTTGGGCCGTTCCCAAAACTACTTTTCAGTTTCTCATTTTAGACAATTTGTGTGGCTCACATTCATTTTACCTTTTTCTTACACAATCACAATTATACATTTCCACTTTATTCCACTTTCTTAATAAGCGTGCCAAGTCAAACCGGGAAGAATTTTTAAGAACGGAAGAAGTTTACTCCTGTATGGAATGTCTTTAAATATTTACGTTCCCCTTTTTAGGTATAACACTAAGGGCATTTGTTGTTGAACTACTTAAATACGGAGTACTATGCAAAAAGCAAAATTTCTCTCATACGGAGTATATCGTAGACCTCATAGAATAGGCAGCATATTTCCTGACAACCTTCATGGAATTGGCGACGGCGTCAAAGCCGAAAGGTCGACAGTGCGTTATCTGTAACGAAAGACGCGCCGCCCTGAAACGCCCTAAAAACCTTCAACCTGTAAGTAGTTGTTGTCCTAACTGTTTCCTTTTTATTGCATTTCTTATCGTCTTCTTACTTTCACTGCTGTTTTTGTCATGGAAAGATATGTAGGGAGTGCTTCTACGCAGCTTTTGAAGAGGAGATCCACATGGTTATCGTAGAAAACCACCTCTTCAAGCCTGGCGAACGCATCGCTATTGGTGCTTCCGGTGGAAAAGGTCCCAATTTTACTTTTACCTAAGATAATGTTTTGCTTCGAGTATATCCGTACTTGTGTAAGGATGTTTTACTTGGACTGTAATTCGTCCAGATCAGACCAGATCAGATCACACCAGACCAGCAAATTACAGTCCAAGTAAAAACATCTTAAGTGGAGGAGCTAGGGTGCATGGGGTAAAAAATTAGTACTACTTAGTAAAAAATTACTTCCTGCGTTCCCTTTAAATTGCAATTCTCAACATTTCACGTTCGACAACGCACAAGTCACCATTAATATCTTTCATTCCCTATTAGTAAAAAAAATTTCAAAATTAATATTTTGAAAATTTAGAATGAGAAGAATTTAACAATTTTTTTTTTAAATTTAATTTATAATACATTAATTAATAAAATATAGTCAAAATAGAATATGTGAATAGTGCAAAAAGTCCAATGTTGCAATTAAAAGAGAACAGAGGTACTATAATACTTATAATTTAGTACTTATAAAAAATTAGTACTAGTTATAATATCTTTGCCGCCGTCGCCGATTCCATGAAGGTTGTCAGAAGAAACGCTGCCTATTCTATGAGGTCTTCACCGAACAATATATGAGAGAACTTCTGCATTTTGCACGGTATTTTAGGAGTTCAAGAACAAATTTTACTCTTTTTTAAATGAAACATTAAACTTTTTCCACTATTCACATGTTCTACTTTGACTCTATTTTATTTATTAATTTATTATAAATTAAATTTAAAAAAATATTGTAATTCTTCTCATTTCAAATATTCAAAATCTAATTTTTTATAATTTTTTTACTAATAAGGAATGAAAGATATTAATGGTCAAGCTTGTGCATTGGCAAACATGAAAAGTGGACCGTTGCATTTAAAAAAGAACGGAGGAAGTATAAATAATAGCCCCCTTTGAAAAAGTAGTTCTCCACCATTATGAGATTGATAGGGACAAAAGAGTCCAAATAGAAAGTACACGTGAGTGGGATATTACTAGTGATCCAGCATTATGAAACAATCGATAAATATGCTGATAGATCACTGATATTAATAGTTCAGAATTCTACACACAATCGAAGAACATACACAGATCACATTTTATTCAACAAGCAAGAGTACACAAGCCATAGACAATTCGAGATGCCCAATCTCCTAGCCCAGTCCTAGCCAAATAACAGCCTACCTCTGCTAGCTTATTCACCTTCTATTTATAGTAAAAGTCCACGCAGGGACACTCGACTAACTAACTAACAGACTGGTTAGTTAATCATTATTATTAACTGCTCTATTCCTCCTCCTTTTATAGACTTTGTTGTAAAACTGAACCACTTGCTTTGCTCCTTGTCTATCAATACTCCCTCCCTGAAAATTCACCTTGTCCTAAAGGTGAAACTCTGGAAATTGTTCTTTGAGCATTAACAAAGGTTCCCAGGAGTCCTCAAAGCTTGGCAGATTGCTCCAGTGTACCAACACTTCAACATTCCCTTCTTTGTCAACCCTTGTATCCAAAATATCTTTTGGCACCACCTGTAATTCCAATTCCTCACTGAGACAATTGGGTAGAGGCTGGTAGAAGGTAGTAGAGGAAATAGCCTTTTTGAGCAATGATATATGGAAAACTGGATGGATTTTACTGTCATTTGGTAATTTTAGCTTGAAAGCTACTGAACTCAGTTTGTCAATTATCTCAAAGGGGCCATAATATCCGGGACTGAGCTTTTGATTTATCCTTTTAGCTAAACTTCTTAGCTTGTAAGGTTGTATCTTCAAGTAAACCTTCTCTCCCACCTCCAACTGAACCTCTCTCCTGTGCTTATTGGCTTGTTGTCTCATCTGATTCTGGGCCCTAGCCAAATTCTCTTTTAACTCATCCAAGATGATATTTCTCTGGGCATTCAACTTGGAGACTTCTTCTACAGCAGTTAGAGTTACATCCCCTCTAATTACTGCAGGTGGGTCTTGTCCAAATAGAGCTTTGTAAGGAGTAATTTTCAGAGCAGCATGATAATTGGTATTATACCAATACTCAGCCCAATGTAGCCATTGAAACCGTTTCTTAGGTTTTCTTCCACTCAGACATCGCAGATAGGTTTCAAGGCATCTGTTAACCACCCACCTCAGTCTGGCCATCAGTCTTAGGGTGGTAAGCGGTATTGTACTTCAACCGAGTCCCAGCCAACTTAACAAGCTCTGACCAAAAGGCACTTAAGAATACACCGTCTCTGGCACTAACTATGGTTTTAGGAAAACCATGTAATCTGACCACCTCCTTCATGAATACATCTGCCACCTCCTTAGCATTGTAGGGATGTGATAAAAACCACAAAATGAGCATACTTGGTCAACTTGTCCACAATGACCAAAATAGTATCCTTCCCTTCTGATTTAGGCAGTCCACCAATAGAATCCATACTAATGTCAGTCCAAGTGCTATTAGGAATTGGTAGGGGCTGTAACAACCCTGCAGGTTTGAGAGCCTGATACTTATTTGTCTGATAAACCTCACATTCTTCCACAAACTTCTTAATATCCTTCCTCATTCCCTGCCAAAAGAAAAGATTAGAAACTCTTTTCATGGTTCTAAAATACCCAGAATGTCCCCCAATTGCAGATTCATGATACTCCTTCAATATTTTGGTTATTCCGGGGGATCCTTGTGGTAAGACCAGCTTGTTGTTTGTAATAAAGTAATCCTTTTCTCATTTGAAACTCAGTGTGCAGATCTGGATGTGAAATCACCTTCTGAATCAATTCTGTACACTTGGGGTCTGATTCCAGTTCTTCTTCCAATCCTTCCCATTCCCGGCATGTCACAATAGAGAGTGAGTGTAGTATAGGTCTCCTGGACAAAGCATCAGCAGCTCTGTTCTCAATTCCAGGTCTATATTTGATAGTGAAATTATATCCCAATAACTTTGAAGTCCATTTTTTATGCTCTTCCCCCATTTTTGGGACAGATGTAGTATGTATTTGGTGGAATTATGTGGAAGTATTTTGAATATATTTTTATTAGTTTTACGCATCGTATAGAAATCAGTCATGAATGTGTGACTGATGGAAATCTAGTGACCTCAATGTTCATCAAGTTAAAACACAAGAAGGAATGGATATACACTAAAATCATCATTATCATTACCCAGTGCTGCAAAGGCTTCCACCTACGGTGGGGTAAAGGGAGGTCGGATGTACACAGTCTTACCCATGTACTAAAGTACAAAAAGATTGTTTCCGGATTACCCATAGTGAAAATTGTGTCAAAGTTTGCATGGACTGACTGTTGCTTCATAACAAAGAAGCGTATACAATTTAGTGAGTCCATTTGCTTCATTCCATCATATTCCCAAGTATTTTGAATAAAATGATAGGGTACCTCGAGAAGTTCTTTGGTGGGCCTTAACTAGAAAAGGCATATCAAGCAAGTATATCAGCATCATCATGGATATGTATGAGGATAGTACTACAAGTGTCCGTACTAGTGTAGACTGGACTGAAGAGTTCCTTATTACTATCGGAGTGCACCAAGGATCGGCTCTGAGCCTTTTCTTATTTGCCATAGTCATGGATGAACTTACAAAGTCAATTCAAGATGATATATCGTGGTGCATGATGTTTGCCGACGATATTTTATTGATTGATGAGACGCAATCAGGTCTTAAAGCAAAGTTGGAAGTATGGCGACAAACATCGGAGAATAAGGGTTTCAAATTAAGTCGGAGCAAGACAGAGTACATGGAGTGCAAGTTTGGTGGAGGTAGAAGCAGCGGTAATAGCGGAATTACTCTGGATGGTAAGGAGATACCAGTCAGCGCTATGTTCCGTTACTTGGGTTCCATAATTCAGAAGGATAGTGAGTTAGATGGAGATGTATATCATAGAATCAGAACATGGTGGATGAAGTGGAAGAGTGCGTCAGGATTTCTATGCGATCGAGGTATGCCGACTAGATTAAAGGGTAAATTTTATAGGATAGCAATTAGGCTTGCATTACTGTATGGCGTAGAGTGTTGGAAGGTGAAACAATGTCACATTCAAAAGATGAGTGTGGCAGATGAGTGTGGCAGAGATGCGCATGCTGCGTTGGATGTGTGGGCATACTAGGAAGGACCGCGTGAGGAATGAGACAATCAGACAAAGGTGGGAGTAACACCTATTGAAGACAAGATGCGGGAGTCGCGCCTACGGTGGTTTGGTTATGTGCGTAGTAGACCGAGTGATGCACCTGTCAGACGAGTTGAGATGTGTGGAGAAGAGGCAGGGAAGAGAGGGAGAGGAAGACCCAAACAGACGTGGGTAAGGGGAGTTCGAAGTGATATGCTTCTTCTGGGGTTGGATGAGAGCATGACTTTGGAGAGAGCTAAGTGGAGGGCGGATATTCGTGTGGATGAGTGATCTTGTATCATCTTTTCCCCTCATCTTTTTTTCCTTGTTTTTTATCCCTATATATATATAAGCATTATTTGTATCCTTTTTATTTTATCTTTGTATGTATATTCATCTCTTTTTATAATAACTTATCTTTTTTATCTTTATTTTCTTTCTTATCCTTTTTGTGGTGATATCATGTATCGATTCATGTTAGCCGACCCCAATATCTTTTGGGACTAAGGGTTGGATGTTGTTGTTGTTGTTGCTGTATTCCCAAACCAAAAAATAGTGAGTATTTGGCTCCATTGCAAATGATGGAAAGGATATACACTAAAATGAAGACTTTTTTCCTTTTGACATGTTGCTCTGATAATTTCATTATGCTCTGTCAGTGTTAAATTTATCTTCGGAGTTTCTTTTTTGTTAGGGATCCACCACTAACAGAGAAACTTCAAGCAACAAAAATGGTAGAGAGAGAGAGATGAACAGTAACAGAGAGGTCGTTATTAACAAACAAGAGAGAGAAAGTAGTCCGGCAGTTTAAAGAGAGCCACTCTCCAAGTCTCAGCCCAAAAGAGACAATACTAGCCTGCCTCTTTATTACAATACCTATCTATTTATAGTATTTCCCCCAGCGT